TAGGCAACAGGGAAGTAGAAGAGCTATTTATGCCAAAGAACAATACTGATGCAAGGACAAATGGACAGAGCCTGGTTACAAAGAAGTTCAGGCTGGAAACAAGATTTCTAAATCTCCAAGTCATGTGTTTCTTGGACAGCCTTCCAACAGATGTAGAAAGGGCAAAACCATCCATGGGTTTTAAGATAGCATTAGATAAATTTATCAAAATTGTGGAAGACCTGCCCAAGCCTGACAGCCTGTTGGGACAGTGTGGTTAGTTTCTACAGCTAAAGGCACACAACAGAGTGATGTGGCCAGCATTACACATAGCCACCTTTGATCAAGTCCAAATGACCAAGTCCCCATTTATAGCAAAATCAGCTGGGGGTGGCCACTAGCACAAGTCCAGAGCAGGGCTTGAGATACTACCTCTCTGAAGCTGTAGCAAGATGCCAAATAGGATTAAGACATAGTTGCCAGCAAGGACACCAGACATTCCTCCCAGTTGCATGTTCCTAACTGTATTTCAGCCAAGTTAAAACTCAGTTTTATCACAGCTCCCAGTCTAGGGGATTAATATGGATCTAACTCGAATAGTTAGAAGAGGGGTTTGCTGGCCAGCAGAGATGAAAACCACATTATAAGTCAGAAGACGATTTTCTGTTTAATTGAGATTGCCAGCTCAAACAAGGCCAAAGAGATCATCGTGAAACAAGGTTCAAACCCATCCACTCTGTGACTAATTAACACCTGGAGAAACAGAGCTGTGGAATGTAAACTTTGCTTAGTATTTGGGTCCAAAGAGCAGGCCTGTGTATCATAGATAACAGGAGTCCCAAGGTCTGATTTTCCTGTGCCTCACACTTGAGTGGAGTGGATGCAGTGCGAGTGAATGCAGGGTTCCAGTAGCGTTCAACACCCCATTTGCTCATGTGTCAACAATAAGGCAGTGGAGACCCAGCCTAAGCACCTTCCTGGTTATGAGTGAAATAGGTGGCGCAGTAGAGGTGCCCAACTTCACAGGGCACTGGTCATGGAAGGGCACATACTGGAGTATCAGTCTCACAGGTTCTGGGGCATGAATGACTGGTGCCTCCTGAGACTGGAGTGGGGGGCACCATGGCGGTGAGCAGGGACTGCCCACAGCTGGCCGTGGCAATGTTGGCGGTGGGTTGGGGGAGCAAGTGGGGACCACCCGCAGACGCCACTGGCCATGTCGGCAGCAGGGGGGAAGGGGACAGGTGTGAACAGCAGCTGCCTGCAGAGGGATTCCTCCAACACCAAGAGTCTGATGCATTTGCAGGGTTCACAAACATCCCTGACCAATTTAGGAGAGAACAATGTATGAAGATGAAGCTTCAGCCTTCACTGGGGTAGGAGGGCAACATCTTCCATGTCCCATTCCATGTTTAGCCAATCTGTTGCACTGGCCAGTGAAGGGGCAAAACAGAGCCAATGATGAGGGCAATCTGGGGGGTGTGGACTTCTTTGGATTCAGATGCACTGAGCTACTTCCACTTAAAAGCCAGTGTAGCTGCAGGGGGGGGCATGCTTATAAGAATCACTACAATCTTCTGAAGGGAACAACACGGGGAAACCAACTCATTCAGTAGTAAGAGCTCAGTGGAGCTCCTTTCAATTTTGCCTTTGATTCAAAAATGTGATCAGTGGTTACCACTAGCTGATCCCTAGCAAATGCCCTTGACCAGAGGTGCCAAATACATGGGCTCCTGAGGGCCCTGGCCCCCCTCGGGCAGAGGGCTGTCACTTGATGGAGATTTGAAAAGTTTGATGCATTTCATCTTATGTCCCCGCCCCATGGCAAAAATACAAGTCAGTGCCTATGCCCTTGACCCTGGCAGTATAACCCATCTCAAACCTCAGCAATGACGCTGACCAAGCACATGGCACTGCAACTGCAGGCTGCTCTGGTGACTACAGAGGAAATGGTCTCCTTACCATAGTTGGGCTCTGGCTGGACAGTCTTGATTCTCAGGTACTCCCGGAAGAGCGTGACCGAAGGATCCTCCACAGGATCTTGTCTCCTGACCAGCTCCCCGGTCTTCCCGAGGTCCTTCCTGGGCAGCATGTTATCTATTTGCAGGAGGCTGGAAACCTGGTAGAAGAGAAATGAGGTGTGTGGAAGAGAGAAACAAAATCACCACTCCGATGCCATCGAGAGACTGTTTCTCCAGATGTGTGGGCCCACGCTTGTCCCCGGAGTACCCGCAGCAACTTCAACGCAGCTCCCGCAGCAGGGCTGAGTTCAGACCTGCATTGCTCAGGGGCTCAGCTGGTGCTCTAATGGTTCCTGAAACCATTACAGGTCCCTCCAGGAAAGACACCCTGCCGCAGCTGCTCAAGCCTGGACCATCACCCTGCACTTGTCGCACGAGGACGAGGGGCCACCCAACAGCGGAAGTCCTCAGTCAGGGTCTTTCCCTGCACGGGGCAGCGGGGCTCACAGGAGTTACAGGAGGGAGCTGCTCTTCCCTGGAGCCCGGGGAGGGCGGTGGTGCTACAAGCTACGACTTGGGTGGGGAGCAGCGGCATGAGGCTGGTAGCCAGAACGGAGCCCAGCGGCTACTGGGGCCGGCGATAGGGACACGACCAGCTGGACACAAACTGCTCATTCAGGCCCCCAGGCTGTTCCCCCTCCTTCTGCAAGCCTCCCCCGGGGCAAGAGCCTTTGTCCTCCCGCACTAGCGCGGCGAGGCCGGGGCCTGCAGGGAAGGGAGAAGCGGGGCAGGAGCAGCGGCCCCGCGCGCCGCCGCCTCCTCCTACCTCCCGCCGCCCTCGGCCCCGCTCTGCGCGCAGCGCCGCC